ATTGGCTTTGAAAAATCGGGTTTCCAAGCCCTAGAAACTGCACTGGATGCCTTTAACTTCGTGAGTTTGTCGGGTTCCTGGTGTCTTGTCAACTGCTCCAGGACGTCCTGGTATGAACGGAGCAGATGTGCGCTTGTTCTGTCTCTCTGACGCTAGCTATTGTTTTAAACAAGGAGATGAAACCACATTGTTTTAAACAAGATCTGTTCTGTAAGGGTCACTGGAGATAAACTGTTTATGGCGAGTGAATGCCGTAACAGAAGCTTGTATTGAACTGTATATCATTCCTGGTATAATATTGATCTTAGAGTGCAAGAGAAATGATCAACAACTACAAATGTTAGAAAATCTACTTGCTTTCAAACTACAGTACAACAAGCAGAGGTTGAAGCTTCGGCTTACTTTTGACGCGTTGTTATCGGGCCTTCTTTTTTTTTACTCGTCTGGTGTCTTTTTTTTTCTACGCCAGTCAAACTTCGGGTGGCAAATGGTACCTCCTGGCGAATGGATACTGCCTGGTCAATTTGTGGTCACCAAAAGATCTTCTTGGATGTTACTTGTGTAGATTTCTCAGTCCTTTGCTTTTGTTTTGTTTTGTTTTGTTTTAAAGTACGTTTTTCAGTTCTGTTTCTAGGCTCAAATTAGTTTCGAAACTTCTTTCTCTCTCCCTCTCGCCCTAGATGGATGTGTTATTTCCAGCAGGCTAGTTCTGGTAATAGAAGCACGACAATTCACCCGGAGATGACCCGAACAACAGAATAGGAGTGAGTACCTCGGGGTTCGAACCCGGGACCGCGGGATCCAGTAATCACAGAGTCCGAAAATTACCCGAATTCCTGGAAATTAAACTGTCTGAGGAGAAACACAACTTCCACTTAGACCCTGGAGATAACCGGAAAGTGGGGAGTAATTTTGTTAGGACGGTGGGTAAGAATTTGCTCGAGTCGAAATTGGAAATGTTAAATTCGAGAGCGACAAGGTGTCATAAAAATTCCAGTTTTTGAGGTCCCCGCGCCTATGGTGACACTCGTGCTGTTGCCTTGTAATTTGCGGGGAAAATGAGGCGGAGAGCCATTTGCGGCTGGTTAAAGTGTCCCTGGCAGACGTCGTCAGGCCGGTATGGCTGAACAGGGCCCATTATCACCATCACTGGGACAACATCGGAGCAAGGAAGAGGAAAATTCTGTCTCCTGTACTCAGAGGGGAGTAGAGTGAGTCTGTAATGTGGCCTGGTCCCGACCTGACGCCCTGATCTCCTAGCAGATCGTTTGGTGGCTACAAGACAATATCAAATTTACCGGGCAGTTTACCATTCGCCACCACAGTTTGTTTGACGTAAAAACAGATACCAGGACAAAAAAAAGAAAGTCCGATACTCGTAACAAACTAGCCTGGGTACCATCCTACTTGTATGCCGGGGCTCCCACACTCGCTTGTTAGAGAAGCGAGTGTGGGAGCCCCGGCATACAAGTAGGATGGTACCCAGGCTAGTAACAAACGCCTGAATACACGTAAAAAAGGCCAAATCTTAAACCCCTGTTTGGGGAGTACTTACATCCTTTTTACATTTAGAGCCTACGTCCGCTGAGCATACACCACAGATCACTGAAAGTATTTCATAGAAGAAGAACGTCATTTTTGTACGTTTGTGTATTTTGTTGCCTATTGAATCATGAGTATGGAATTAAGGGTCACCTTTTGTGTCAGATTTAGTCGCTGTACGGTAGCTGTCTAGTGGAAGGGTGCCCTTCACAACACACAAATAAAATCCATATAAATACAACGGCAGGAACATTTTATACAAAGAAAGCGGCTCTTGAATTGTAGAACAGACAACGTTTGTAGTTTGTTTCATATATTTTACTAACAAGTCGAAACTAAAACGCTTCTGTTGTCAATGACTCATCTCAGTTGTACAGAACTCTGAAGACTTGTGTGAACACAGAAGTCATACACGTACACACACCTCGAGACTGAAGGCTGCTAAACATTTGGATCATTTGAATCTCGCTGAATCAGAATCAGGACCTTTTGTATGACTGCTTATGACAAATACAGTGCTTATTTTCGTAAGGCCAGTGTTTGTGCTAATGTTGTTTTCTTTCTTGTAAGATTTTCAAGACTCTCCCAGAAACAGCCACTAGCGTTACAGACTGCTTGAGCTGTGTTTGTCTCCGCTGTATTATTTTGCCTGTCACCGTGAAAATTCAAGGCGAATTTCCCTATTGTTACCGCACGTCTGGAAAAGCAGGGCTGGATAGGGAGCCAGATTAGCCGCTCCCCGGGCCGTATTGTCCGGCTATCGGCCACGGAAATGTATAGCTTCCATCCCACTGTACCGCTCATACGGTTAACAAAACGGCTCTCACATTGTGGCTAGTCAGGCCGATTGTACTCAGAATGGAACGAATCTGGGAGTAAACAGAAGCGGAGGTTTCCAATATGGCTGCAGAATAACCGTTACGTCAATCAGTTGAAGGTGGCTTTTAAATCTAAACCGTCCAATCAAGGCGTCTGAATGAAAGTACACGTGCTTTCAGAAAACCACTGAATCTACCGTTGTCGGTGAGCAAAATATGACTGCAAAATTTCATTCTAGCCACTCGATTCTATTCTAGCTTGCGTATCTTAGTTTAAAAATAAGGTGCTTCTGTTTTTACTCACAAATTTGAAAGTCACTCATTAAAACAATTTCCCTTTGTTCTGAGCTGCTTCTAAAATGCAACTGGGTAACGTTGGACACGCAGAGAACACTGTGAAACAGACATGCGTTTCTACCCATTGTTCATGCCATGCACATTAACTATAGGATTTTTCGTAGGATGGGTTATTATATATAACATAAGCCACGCCAGGCGCCTGACTTTACTCAGAGCAAGTAATTTTGTACTTCTGGTCCTTCTCTCGCTGTTAAACTTTCCGTCTGACACCTACAGACCCTCAGGGCATCACAGATCCCCTCATTAATATCAACTAATTGGTAAACAAGGCTGAGCTTTGAAGCACCGAACAGCGAAACACACATTATATATACTTGTGGCGTCGTGTGGCGTGGCGGCAGAGTGCTCGACTCGGAACTAAGAGTCCCGGGTTCGAGTCCTGACATGCCACCGATTTTGTGCCCTTGGGAAAGGCACTTTACACGACTTTCCTCACTTAACTCAAGTGAAAATGAGTCCTGTCCTGTATTTGTACTCTGTGTTGGTGGCGACATAAAATAGGTTGATATAGCTTGAGTGTGCCGTCGCCACGTTTGGTCATGAAATGTTGGAATAAAAAAAGTATACTCCGTTAAAAAGTATAGTAGACTGTGGGATTAAAGGGGGCAAAACGGATTTGCTGTTTTTAAACTTATCATTCAATTAAGCATATATGGTTGTCATGCTATCATAGATTTCTTCGTGTTAGCCCTTGTTTCAATATTCATTTTGTATTTCAATTTTATAGGTTGTAGCTGAACATAAGAAACTCTGTACATTTGTTGAGTCAATAAACATTTGATATATATTTGATCTCCAAGCAGATATCATAATGGCCACAATACAGAATTAAATTGGCAGGGAAGTATTCAATAGGCCATAGTAGTTTGGCTGGCGAAAAAATATCGGTACAAAAAGAAAACCTGATAATTATAAAATCGCCTAAAAAGATTTCGAAAATAAAGTTTAAAACGGAAGCCTATTAAAAAACTGGTAGGTAAAACTGTGCTTGGTTAGTAAAAGTGTATCTGCTAGTATGTCGCAAACCTTGCAATATAGATAAACATACTAACTAAACGGTAAACACAAAGACGCAAAGAGTTGAAGTATAATAATATACAATAGCGTTTATTCTGATTGATTGTTAGAAGCGCCCCCCATGTGGCGGGGATTTAAAAGTGCACAAGCTCTCGTCTCCTGTGAGTTGGAGTACAGATTGTCTACAGGTGAACTTTCACGTGAAAATTCCGCTAAAACATTCCACAACTGTGTTCTGTTGTCATGTACATGGCAATATAGACCTTCACCGTGTCGGGGATTAACTCACACATATATAATTATATCCGCGGAGTAGATAGAAAAAATATTACATCGTATAAATATAGATATAGATAGACATATTTGCTATACTCACATCTTCATAAGGCACTCCAAATGCCACTCTTTTTTCGTAATATTTACATAAAATCAGGAACTATATCTACATACTTTTTCACAAATATATCCGTTATTTCTAAACGCAAGATAGTCTAACCTATGAAATAGAGGCGCGTTAGATAGTTTGCTAGTATGGTTAGATTTTAACTACGTTTGAACAAAAAAGTTCCCGTAAACTTAACATCTCAATAGTGAGAAATGTAAACAAAACTTAAAGATAAACTATGCAGGAGCTAGTGTAAACAGTTAGTGTTTACGGACTGTTATCCGATTGAATAGCGATTGCCCTTTGTTGGCACAAGGAGTCTTTCAGTAGTCCATTCAGTCATTGTCACTCCCTCTCGAAAACGTACTGAACAATAGATTGTCCTAACAAGACAATTTCTTAACAAACTGATTCAAAAACAAGACTTAAAAGTCCTCACATGGTCAGCCTGGGTCCTGTTGAAGTGACAGGAGACTGGGTAGTAGACAGTTCTGGTCTTGGGGACATCAGTTTGTGTTTTTTGTCCACATGGGTGCCGATGTGGCCGATGAAGTCATACACGTTGGTGAAGTAGACAGCGCAGAAGGTACAGATCATGGGCGGGGGGTCGGCTTCAGGGACGCCGCCGACCACCGCGGGGTGCTTGCCTGGACAGGTCATCGGGTAGGCGCGGAAGACGATCGGCTTGAGCGGCATGACAGGCCGAGGACCCGGCGGGCAGAGCCCGTTGGCTGTCATGTAGCAGCTCAGGAAGTGTGCCTGGGCGGCGGGGTGGACGTGTGGGAGGGGGTGATCCCGCGGGATGGCCAGCGGGTGGAGCGGGAACATCGGCACGAGCCCCTCGGTAGGCTTGGCGACTCCATCCGTAGGCGGGGACGGTTTCTTCGGCGAGTCCGAGTCGTCACTGGCACGCTCCTCTGGTCTCCCCGATGCGATTCCTCGGTGTCTTCCTCGTCTCCCTCTCGGGACACCTGTGAATCTTCTTGTGCCGCTCCAGGTTGGACTTGTGGCTGGTGGCGTAGCCGCACAGCCCGCAGACGAAGTCCTTCCTCCCGCTGTGGACGGTCTGGTGCCGCTTGAGCAGGGCCTTACGGCAGAAGTTCCGCCCGCAGACCTTACAGGTGTAGCCGTAGCGGTGGTGCTGGTAGACGTGATCCCGGAGCTCGGCCTTGCTGCTGAAGTGGTGATCGCAGCACTCCAGGGACTTGGTGCAGGCCAGGTGCATCGTGCTGATGTGCCGCTTCAGGTTGTTCCTCCGGTTCGTCTCGTAACTACAGTGCGGGCACTTGAACATCTTCCTCCCCATGTAGCAGTGAGAGGAGTAGGTGTCGAGGCGAAGGTACGGCGCGGGCATCGGTGCTGAAGCCATGTCCTCCCGATAACTGCTCTGCACTAGCACGCTCCTCATCCCACGGGCTCGGACTGAGATGCTCACTCGGGCTCGGCAAGACGAGTTCTGGAGCAGGAGAGAAGCAGACAGCGGTTTTATGAATGGGGGAAACCACGTTACCTCATCGTGATAATAGTACTAATGAATATTGTAGAAGACTTCCCCCCAAAACCCGCTGTGCGCCCGGAGCCAGTCCCCGGGACCCCGGTGTCACTCATTCAGACCGTCCCCCTCTCGACATGCATTATTACACCAATTAAACACCCGCGGTCACAGAGAAGCCATTTAATTTGATATACATGAGAATGCCGATAATTAACCGTGGTCTAGCTTAGACAATACCAACTTTTTCACGTATGCTGAGGTCATAGCGTATTGTTTCTAAAGACTTCAAACGACAATTCTTGAGGGAAAAGGCTAGGCAGGGAGTTGTAGTGGAAGAAGGTGTAATCAAGTCCTCGGTAACAAACTAGACCTGTGATTATCCTAGTCCATAGGGATAAACTATATTTGTACAGCAAATTCCTATAGATCCTGCACGTTTCCTGGACAACTCAACAAGAACATGCCAGACTTGCAAACTTTAGATTTGGTGGCATTTCCCATGACAAATTATAACGAAAAATATCCCATACATTTCTTATGTAAACGAAGGAGAGGAAGGCACACATACAAACACAAGGGAACTGCAAGATTTCTAAAATTTCCAAGTTACAGTTAAAATATTTTCGCACCTTGTAAATGAATATTCTGGCTGATGTATTTGTCAAGCAAATGCTTGTCTTAACTTTACCCTCACTAATTCCAATATAAAACTTTTAAAACTTCACAGTACTTCAGACAAAAGTTCAGTCGCACAACGCAACGCAATTCAAGCTGGAAAATATTAGAAACTGTCGAATAGACTGAATAGTATGCCAGGAGAAGTTACCGGTTAGAGGAGCACTATTTGTAACCTCGAGTGCCTGGTAGAGGCTATATCTCCGGGGCGGGTGGGAATTTTGATACAGCATTTTTAACGCGTTCTTTTGATAGCCGGCCAGGTTCCATTCGAGGCTGGTTGTAGGATGGCCGTCTATTAAAAGAATGCGCTAAAAACTCTTCAAAACGCTGTATCAATTCCCACCCGCCCCGGAGCCTGCACAGGAGGCTAATATCTGACAGTTAAAACCGGTACATGTGAACTTCTAGTGACCCCGCCCGCGCCTGTGTTCCAGTCTACACGTCGCCAACACGACTCAAACAGGTGTCCAGGCCGGGCGTGTCATCACACTGCTCGCTCCTGACGCACAAGCTCAGATAACAGTCGCCACTTCGCGCCATTTTCTGATAATCCCGTCGTTTGAGCCGATTTAAAACCTGGCAATCATTCCTCCTTGTCTCATCTGGGCCCGACATGTCGGCGGCAGAGCAATCGGTTTGAAGACGCTATAGCAGCCCATTTCTAGCCTCTACCAGGCTTGAGGGCGCGGCTGGAAATAGTCGAAATTGGCCAAATAGAGAGATATAACACGCCGAGGGAGTTTAGCCGGCCGGCCGGCAAACTGTAAACTGGATGGCTAAACTCCCTCGGCGTGTTATATCTCTCTATTTGGCCAATTTCTACTATTTCCAGCCGCGCCCTCAAGCCTGGTAGAGGCTAGCCCATTTCCACTACAGGCTGCCGAGCGAGGGACTGAACGTTCGAACATTGAACAGATCACGCAACGAATTTCATCGCCAAAAACGACTTTTTTTATAGAGGTTCTGTGTGTTTTCTTGTCTTCATCTTCATATTGTATCTCACATTCGAATCATAAAATCAATTACAACTTTTGGGGGATCAGGGACGACGAAAGATCACCCGTGTACATATTACAGCCTGCGAAGATTTTCTAGCGGTCAGCGATTGTTTTTATATGAGCGTGGCTAGAGTTTCTTTTCGGTGAGCTGTTTTGTGAGGGAGGGGACGGCTGTATCGGGACGAGAGCTGTGTCTAAATAAGTCTGCACATGAGTCTACACACAGCTGATGGTACAAGTTTGGTAAGACGATAAAACATTTCTCTTTCTTTCATACCAGATTTGTACATGTATAACCTTTTTCCCGTAGAGGAACTTGCGAAGGCTGATTCTCTATAGTGGAAGCTTGAGAGAAGAAGCAAAAAGTAAACAGCTACAATTTTGAAGCCTATCAATTGATAAACATACAAACAAATGGATCCTAAACATATGCAATATGCTTTCTGTCGACCAAACATGTTATCTACTTTTCAAGCACTCTTAGAGATGATTTCAATTCTTTTTGTGTATTTTTTGGTACAGTCGCCATTTTGGTAAACAATCGAGGTACTGTCGTTCCCAGGCCAAGTCGCTTCTTCCGTGAGTTCGACTCGTTCCCAAAGTCCTGTCAGAAGTCACCCGTGTCGAACTGACTTCCCCCGACTTCCTGTGTACTGTGTTCTGTGTGCTTCGTTTCAAGTTGTCTGCTTCTATTGAATCTGATTCAGTGTGTTTTGCAATGCGTTATTAAGAATGATCAACCGCCAACTCTGTTTTGCTGTTGTGTATGTCGTTTTCACAATAAAAAAAAACGGAGCTTCCGTGAGTAACAAACGGTTGATACCACTTACTATTTGTAAGAAGGACTACACATTTTGTGAATGAAACCTACTCAGAATTTGAAACAAAATCATGCAGAATTAGAATTAAGGACAGATGATTGATACTGACCACTTCAAGACCAAACAAATGTCACAGGTTTCATACCGCCAAACACAGTAAAAACGAACAAAACACCGAAACAAATCCTTGACACTAGACGTAAAGAATACAAACTGTAAGTTACAAACAGTAAAAACACACACTTGTTTCGATTTCAAGCAGGCCTATATCACATACATGTATAGTGCTTTTTCCTGAAAATGTAGAAAACGAAGAAAGCATTTCATAACGATTTGTGGCACTGAATAAGTCAGAATTCGACACCTATGTCGCCAGAAAATATCAACAGAAAAATCCCAGCAATTTGTCAATCAGAAAAGTTTCTACATCTTATTTCTAGGAGCCAGTTTTTAAGGTTGTGTCGCGGCGTGTGTTGCCTGGCTCCCCCTCGGGGTAGATCGGACCTTTGACCGAGGGACTGATCTTCTGACCTGCGGTGTCCGTGCGCCTGCCTGGCGACAAACGAACAAGTCATCAACATGACAACGTGGTCGTTTGATTAACGAAAAAAAAGAAACGGTCTTCAATACAGACTTTTATTTGTCCAGGCCACAGTTTTAGAAACGAAGACTTGTGCGTGAAATTCTAACTGTAGTTTGCAGTTCGAGAGTTTAGCGAGTGATTTTGATGCTTAAAAGTGGCAAATAATTTACTGTCGCTCCAACGGTTGATTTTGGAAAAAAGTTACTCATTTCAACACAACCTTATATTTGTATAGGTAACAGTAGGTAAGGCTTGTGTGTGAAATTCTAACTGTAGTTTCAAACTCTTCCTCGAAGGTTCAGTGAGGAATTTGGAAGCCAAAATTCCTTGAGTTGAGTGGTAAGTAACTTACTGTCGCTCTAACCGTTGATTTTGGCAAAAAAGGGACTAATTTCAACACAGCCTTTTATTTGTATAGGTTACGGTAGGTAAGGCTTGTGCGTGAAATTCTAACTGTAGTTTCCGATTCTTCCTCGAAGGTTCAGTGAGGGATTTGGAAGCCAAAATTCCTTAAGTGGCAAGTAATTTACTGTCGCTGGGCTGTGGAAAGAGGTCAGGGACTCCCGACTGGTTTTCTGTGGTGCGTTGGCGGTTTGACTGTGACCAGGGGAAGCACTTTTTCTTCTCAGCTGCTACTTGTTCCTTCCCGAGCCATTGTGCTCGCCCTGCGTGGGACAGGAACGTCTTGCCAGGACAGTTCTTCAAGATTTTATACTTAAAGATGCAGCGGAAGGGGACGAGTCGACCACACCGGATCAACAGATAACGTCTGTGGGGGAAAAGTTTTCAAAACTTAAAGAGAAAATCTGGGTGACCCGGAAGGGCAATGTTACGCTGACTGCACCAGTATCAAAACAGTCTAAATCCAACAAACAATAGTCACTGTATTTAGACAAGAAGTAGGGATTTGTTGTTGTTTTTGTTGTTGTTGTTGTTGTACGGTATTGCTGTTAACGTTGTACTGTAAGCCAATAGTCAGCCGATTTTCCTCACATTTGTCGTATGCTGTCGTGCGATTTTGATGCCGTAGAATTTTTAAGAAGACTATGGCAGAACTAATCACCGACAAGGATTTAAGGCAGTATTTTAACAAGAAGACAGCTGAATTTTGCAGTACACATATGTACGACTGTTTCAAGAATGATGTGGCTCTAAATTTGTGATCGCACGACAATCGCAAAACGTATGTGCGACCTTACTCTAAGTTTTACAAAATCAAGGAATATTTGTACCTTTTCTTCCCCCTTTTAAACGTACGTAATTACCGTAAGCTTCCTAAAGAACTCATTTGTTTTAATCTGCAGTATTTTTGTCTTCCCGTTCTTTAACTGCCCATACAGACAGACAGTGGCTTACACAGTAAACAATACCGTAACTCAGGTATGAAACATTAAGGTATTACCGGTCATTTCCGTCCATCACGTCAGTATAACCATGTCTTATAATCACCGGGTCTACAATAAGTAATCAGCGGTCGGTAAAAGCTGGGAGATTACAAGTTTCGTAAGCTTCATTTTAAAGCAATGGAAACACGGTCTAGAAATTCTTGGGCTGGCAGTGGCACTTGTGTGGAACTCGACTTATATGAATGAATGAAAGGCCATTACTGTACATTTATGCCATTACAAGATAGGTACAGCATAGTGATAAAGCTTTGTGTGACTGTGCTCGATCAGTCTGGTACAGTAACAGTGATACACGTAAGGTACCTTACTTCATGTATAGTGTACTAATATGACATGTGCTCGCTTCTGAAGACAGTTGTAGGTGTGTTAACGGCCAGTCGGAAAGAGTCTAAGAGTAGCTTTAAGAACAGATGAAACTTACAATGCATGGTTTATCTTGTTGCATGAGGAATATCAAATTTGCTTTTTAAATATC